TTTCATATCTCCAATTTTCTTGAAGAGATCTCTAGTCTTCCCCATTCTATTGTTTTCCTCAATTTATTTGCATTGTTCATCCTTTATCCTATTCTTCACAATTTCCTTGAGTAACATGCCTGTTTTTTGTTGGAGGAGACTGCAACAAAATAGAACTCGAGTAACTCTGCCATTGTTGCCTGTCAGCATTTTGCTTTCTTCATTGAGCAGGTGATCTACTGATACTTTTCCTTTTATTTCGAATGTATTTATGGAAGTCCTTTTTGTTATTCCTAGTATCCTTTGTTAACCTCAGCTTGTTCTGAGTTTCTGCTTTCCTTCATCAGCTCTACATTTCTGAGATACCTGTCTGTACTCCTCCTTTGTAACTTGTCCCTCTTTTCATTTCCAGTGTACTATATATCCTTTCTTCTTTTCAGATCCTTAATAAACTTTTCCTTCAAGTTAGTGACTTTTTTCTTTTTGAAAACTCAGGAGTTTCCTAGGATTATGGTTGACAGAGTTTGTCTTGTAACAGATCTCAGGATAATTAAAGTATTGTTCCCCCCTCCCCCCAGTACAGCTTCATGCCTCTTTGAAAGATACACAATTTGCTTTTAGAAGATGTCATCTACATCTTCTTCCTTGGAAGGATGACAGTTCACAGCAGCATATACTGCTTTCATTTGTTCTGCCATTTCTTTTAGCTCTGATATTGTACAACATTACCTGGTTCATTCATTTAGATTTTTGAGCAGGAATGGAACCATTCAGTCCAACTTCTCCCATTCTGTTGCTTCTGATGCTTTAGAGCAAGGGGTATTTTTAATTGCTGCATTTCAGTCATGGAAGCCCTTTATACCTATTAAATCATATTTGCCCTTCTATGTGAATTGCTCAAGCACATCTTATTTATTTCCCATAGTCTGAGCATTAATGAAGGCCATGAACGTCAACAGACATTTTTTTTTCTGATTTTCCTTGAAGCAGTTAAGAGGCCCCATTTCAGCAATGCCTTCGTTTTCTACAGTGCATGAATCTTTTTCTGAGGTCTTTACTAAAGAAGTTTGGTCCTACCACCCTCCCCTTCTAATTTACCTCATTCCGCTTGGGTCAAATGTGTTTTTACTATTATTTGTGAAGTGTAACTCACCTTACGTGAACGATCCTGAGACCATAGTCTCAGAAACAAAATCCCTCCTGTCACCATCATTTGCACAGACAGTAATTGATTGTGGTATTCTTTCTAGTCCTCTTCAATGGAATGGACAGTTAGATAAGAATGGCACCTGAGCCCCTAGCAGTTTGAGCTTCCATCTGAAACTTTCAAAGTTTGTAGTGATATTGTTATGGCTGTTCATTGTGGTATTGTTTGTCCCCACATACATCAGCAGTAAGAAATAATTGTCAGTGGACATGATAGGTCTTGGACGTTGTACTCTTACATCATTAAACCTTGCTCCTGGCAGACAGCACACTTCATAAGCTGGGGGGCTGGTCCACATATGTTTGCTTCAGTACCTTGTAATAGCGAGTCATCAACTGCCATGACTTTTCTCTTTGTCTTTATATCAGGCACAGTTGCATACTATCCTTTAGGGATCTGTCATCTTGGAGACAATCCGGCAGCGTGTCTTTCCCTGAACACTCAGGCCAGATGGGACACTAGACATCTCACTTGGACTATATCATCTGCTTAGAGTGGGATTTTTCTGTATGTTAAGCAATTTTGTTTACTGTCATATATATATATATATATATGTATGTATGTATGTATGTATGTATGTATGTATGTATGAACATTCTGCATTTGTACATTACATACTACAGACAATATTTGGAAGTTAACTTTTATGATCGAAGCCTGTCACTCTGTATTCTTTTCTTTCTACTCTTTCTTTAATTACTGCAGCAATCAAAAACCAGGAAAAAA